ATACCGTTGGAGTGTTGGTGGCATACATTTGATCCCTTACTTTAGTTTTGTTGCATGTGCTTGTTGACACAATTTTTATATTATAAATGGTGTTCGTCTTATTTTAGCTTCTTTTTGTCCATATTAGTTAGGCGCGTTTATAGCGATATACTTTCCGTGGAATCCCGCAAATTTTCTTATTGGTGTAATCGATAACCGAATCGATAAGCCCCCAAAATCGATAAATCGAAATCGAAAAAATCGAAACCTTATTGAAACGATAACGATAAGCATATGTACAAATCGATAATCGATAAGTAATTATCGATAAGGGTCAAAATCGAATGCACACCCCTAATTATTGCTACATATTTCAATTGAAAAAACTGCGTACAATGAGAGTATATAATGTTAATTAATTTATTTTTAATTAAAATTAATTTGATTCGCATGATCAAAAGCATGGAAATATAATTCATGTATATGAAGTCTCACGCATGCATCCCATAAACCTTGATGCTGAAAGATCAGAGGACCAAAATCTTTTCATTTCAATTACTTTAGCATTTTTCACAAGTCTATTAACCAACAAGTTTCAGTTGTCAACATTTAATGGAGAGAGGACCACCATAGATTTATCTTTGTTGGCTCAGACTAAATTCAGTTTTCAAAAATTCCCTCTTTTCCCCCTTAAGGTTGTCTTTGTTTCAAGAAGGCTTTGATCGTAGCTTTGAATTTTGTGCATAAGCATGCAATTGTTAGACAGTAGCATGCCAATTGCCAACCTTGCCATTGTCATTTCTTTGGTGTCAGTAGCAGATTCACACTTTCAAAAGTGAATGCATTGTCTCTCATTGACGCCATTCGTATTTATCGTTATATATTTTCTATACTTCATCCCCCCTAGGGTCGTTTTATTGCATGTTCGCATTTATACGGAGATAGTAGCTATATTATCTTGTTCGATCAATCGTACATCTAGCTCTTATTCAACTTTTCTTAAGCTGATTTAGCAAAAATATATATGAGAGTAACATATATTGAATGGTATGGAAATATAGTAAAAACTTATCCGCAAGTTTCACATCAAATCATATAATCAAGTGGAGCATCATGTCAACTTGGAAATCGTTGGAGAAAAAACAAAAGAGAAGTTTGTGAACCAAATGAACTCGACGTTGTCTACTTTTGCTAGGCATGAGGTAAAAAGGTAAATATTTTGCAATGAGCTATGAGCAAAGCTAGCATGCTTCCTCATTTAATATATTGTATAGACTTCTTGGAGAAAAAAATACACATATTCATTATCTCGTAGCAGTCCACTACAAAAACCACTCTTTGTTTAGAACTCGGGGAAGGAAAATGTACGTAGATATATTTATTCTCAATGATCAATTGTTTGATGACCAAGGAATGAGTGAGATAGAATATGATATCTGTGTAACCTTAATTAAATGTATTGGATTCAAGCTCTATGCAGATGTATGACACACTTTCCATTTTAATGAATCTTATGTGATGAAAATTTGAATTAATCAGGTTATGTGTACTAGATACCATATAACTATATATACCAAAAATATTAATTGCTTGCTTTTTGTACGGAAAGAGTGTTTTTGCAGAAATATTTTGGTGAAAAATGTTTTACATTGAGGAACCACTTTATAGATCATATATTTAGTGGTTGTGGGTAGGGGTGTACAGTGGCGGACCCAGGATTTTGTGCAAGCGGGTTCAGTTGGAGAAGTCCATAACTAACATAAGCGGTATAAGCCGTATAAGCGGGTTCAAAAATAATTTCTATACAAAATTTACCTTGCTTTAGCCATAATTTATACATATACACTGTATTATTTTTTGACGAAGCGGGTTCAGTTGAAACCGCTTCTCACCACTTGGGTCCGCCCCTTGGGGTGTACATAGGTCGGATTGGTTCGGGTTTTTCAATTACCAAACCAAATTAGTTGTGTGGGGTTATTGACTCTAAAGATCAACCAAACCAATAAAAGTCGGATTTTTTAACCTCGATTTTTCTCGGGTTTTTCGGGTTCTCGGTTTTTTTTATAAAGTCTTCATAGCACAAAATATTGAATTTATGCTCCAAATATTTCTTTAATCCTAGTAAGACGTGACTATATAAGGTGTTTCCAAGAAACTAAACATAAAATATGAGATAAGTCATGACATTGTACTAAAATATTCAACAATAAAGATAATAAAATCACATAAAACAAATATTATTTATAAGTCATAATGAAAATAAACATAATCTTAAATTACTAAGTTGCTAAAATAAGTATGACTAATAATTACTATTATTTACGTGACTAAACACTAAAAAAAAAAAAAATAAGTTGTGCATTTTATCTAAACCATGAAAAAACTAAAAAAAAATAAATACCCAACACTATCGTCATTCCTAGTAAAATTGGATTGCATGTCTTTTGTTAGCATTAATATTGATTTGATTTTGGTTTGGAATTTGTTTGAGTTACTAACATATCGGAATATTCAAAAATTATAAGTCCAATCCTGAAATACGCTAAACGATAAAATTATGAAAAAATTTAAAAAATATTTATAAACTACAATAGAATAAATATTTTTATGTATTAAATATATTTAAAACTTCTATACATGTAATGTCGGGTTGGTTTGGTTTCGGTTTGACTTTTTTTAGTTAAAATCAAACTAAACCAATTATGGTCGAATTTTTTTTCCACACGAAACTAAATCATAGTCGGGTTTTTTTCTCGATTTGACTCGAATTATCAATTTGTTGCAGTTTATCGGTTTCCTTTGTACACCCCTAATTGTGGGTATAAGAAGTTAGCGAAATTAATATAGTAATCATACACAGTGTGTTTAAAATATACCCTTGTACTCGATGCTTATTTGTGACAACAATTTGTGCCGATTAATTATTAACGGTTATAATTGCACTAATTTTAAATTTATGATCATATGCCGTTATGCCGTCATGTTTTAAAGAACAACCTTAAAAGTGGCTATTGGTGTAAATGGCCCGTAGGCATGAAGATGAGGCTTGACCGACTGATCGCAAATTTGCCCTAACCCCAAAATTATGACGCAAATTGTTAACTAAGTAAATCAAACTAATCAGATGCAAGTATGGTTAGTGAAAATTGAAAAATATTTCAAATATCAAACCCATGGAGAACAAACACAAGATAATTTTTATCTCTTCTAAAACTAAAACCAAACTAGAAATTTAGGAAGATTGAATGAATTGACTGAAAATCAATTAACAGACAAAAAAAATTATTATGAGAGAATAACAATCTATGATTTTCCCAATTGTTCACTCCCTTTCTTTATCTGTTTCAATTCAGGAGATGCTTTAGAACCATTCTTGAAGCTCAGTGGAAGAGAAATCAGGGAAATGGGTCTGGGAAATCTGAAGCAATTGACACCTTTTGTCAAAGAAGCATTTCAACAAACACTACTCGTGGCCAAATTCCTCTGTGGTCTTCATGTCACCAACACCTACCTCTGCACCTTCGCTCTCGTACGTTACCATAAGCAGTATCTTTTTTGTTTACTACTTCATGCTTTGGGCCAATTGAACAGCAATTTTAAATCTTTTTTTTTTTCTTTTTGAGCAGACTCAAGGTCCAAGCATGCTTCCAACGTTTAATCTGACCGGCGATCTCGTTTTGGCCGAAAGGCTTTCGACTCGGTTTGAGAAAATGCAACGGGGCGATGTGGTGCTAGTGCGGAGCCCCGAAAACCCGAGAAAGATTGTGATTAAGAGACTCATTGGTGTGGGTGGTGATACTGTTAAATATGTTGCGGGTCCTGGAAATAATGACAAAGAACATACTATTGTGGTAACAATTTGTAGTTTAGTTTATATTCAGGAGTGAAATGTAATTGGGTTTTTGCTTCTTCTATTTTGGGTTATCCATTTTTGTTTCTTAGGTGAATATGCTTTGAATGTGGACAGGTACCAGATGGACATGTTTGGATTGAAGGGGATAACAAGTTTAATACCACTGATTCAAGGAAATTTGGACCTGTTCCTTATGGACTTGTACAGGGCAGAGTCTTTTGGATTGTCAGTGATTCTTCTCTATTTCAATTTTTACCTATATTTGCTAAAATTGTTTTGACTTGATTATATTTAGAAAAGGCTTTTGCTTAATTTCTTCAACTATTTTCGGTACCTTTCTTGCTAGCCATCATATTTGCTGTCCTATGCATGCCATTGAATGGTTATGTCAATAACTCTTTTTGGAGGGTCATACTGATTTTGTAAACTAGGAATATTATACAACATTTAATTTTGTAATCATTACTCCATTTTAAGTACTACTAGTATGTGCAGCATCCTTTGTTTCATTTTACTGTCTTATGGAATTCTAAAAGTCCTGATTTTGTGATTAGGTATGGCCTCCTGAAGATTTTGGATCAGTTGGAAGAGAAGTACAATAGATTAACCTTTCAAGGTACACTATTTTTGGAATTTGATGTTCAAAATATATCTATTAATTAAGGAACTTGGATCATTTCTCATGGGCTTGTGTCATTGATTTGCGATATAGCCCTCTCTTCTCTTTGACATTTGCCATAGATTCGTATTCATGTGTTCTTTGATTGCACCACCTCTCCTCTCATTTATCATTAGTCAAAAGACCTTCTCTCTAGCTCCCAAAATACACTTGTTTCCTTCTCTTACCATTTTGAACCAATGAATTAGTTTGAAGTGGTCCGTTAACTTCATCCTTGGATTTTTCGCATATAAAAGAAGCATCATTTCTTACTGAGAAGAAGCTCAAGTAGATTTTACTAGTAATTCTAAGTTAATTTTAATAGGTTAAAGTTTGGTAATACTATGGGATTCTTTTTTGGATAATTTTTTTAAAGGAATGAATTTAGAGAATTAAACAATTTCTCTACAAATTGAATGTGTTTTGTCTTTTTATCAAATTTTCAGCAAATATATACGGTGGTTACACTATACTTGTGATCTTAGCCAAAGGCCGGGAAAAGTATGTTTGGCATACACTACTCGAAATAACTAACAAGACTATCTCTTGCCTTGAAGGCAAAGCAGTGCGGCACCATCTATATGGTCCATGTTATCTTATCTTTTGCATAATCAGAAGACTAAACTAGACATTCCGTAACTTCAGCAAGGTCAGTAGGTATTCTAGGAGCATAATATCATGCCTGACAAGTATGGTTCACTGAACTCTTTTTCTGCACTAGATATTTAGAAGCTGGTATGTACTAGAGAATCTCAGATTTAACACAGAATGGCTCGATAGTTATGGGTACTTGGAGTAGATTGGGATCTTTATGAAACAAGTTGGCTATTCTATTTACTCAAGGGAGGAAGGATCCTCTGAATTGTTGTGCATGAGTGTAAGGCAAAAACGACTTGGAATGGACGTAGCAACTATAGCCATAATTCTAAGAAATATATTTCTGCATAAACCATTTTGTGCTGTAGGTAAAGAGTACTATTTTATGCTATTGATCAAGCATTAACTCTGAAATCTTGGAAATATATGTCTTGAGTAGCCTTTGACAGCAGTGTGGACAGATTTCTACAGATATTAACATAAATTTGATTTGAATTGTGTATCATGTGGTCCCTTTGTAAAGATGGACTTTCAACATGACTCCGGAGCTCAAAAGAACTGTACAAACCCTTGAAATAGATGATTTCTGACTGAGATTTGGGACACTTCTTCCAGGTTGCTGTAGGGTATTAAAAGTCATAACTTTTGAAGAAGTTATCTGAACTTGATTTGTGATAAAGCTTCATGTACCCACCTAATAAGAGGTAGCAAAATGTTTAGGAATCAACTATTCTGCTTAGGTTTCTTCCAAGTGTTTCTGCCTAAATCTTTTCTTTTTTGTTTTGGGTAAATCAAATTTCGTCCTAGTGGTTTGCCTTTAGGAAATATGCACCTTTTCAAACTAAGCTTCTTCTTTGCTTAATGTTTGATCTATCGTATTGCGTCCGAATAATAATTGTATAAAAGTATCAAACTTCATTGGCTGTGGCCTGCGGGTGAAAAGGTGTGTGCTTGGTAGGATATGACAAGACTATGCCTCATAATGTTGTATCTTTTGGTAGTATTGTGATTCTTTTGTTAAATTGCTTTCCATAACTAAGGTCTTATTAGATGGCATTCTATTTTGTTGGACCATGTGATTGCCCATTTTCCTTGTGGAAAGTTGGCATTGATTAATGCTGACTTTACCTTCGCAGATTCGGAGTGTTCTCTTACAGCATGGATGTCAAACAATTTAATGAAAAATGGCAAGTTGTGGGTTGTTTCACTACTATGTGCGAGGTGGGATGCTAGAACTGTTAATATTCAGTTAACGCATATCTAATTCAAAAGATGGCACGATTTGCATCATTCATTCATGGAGTGGAACTGCTAATGCGTAGGAAGACTCTTCCCGCCCCGAAAGAACCCACATATAAGTACTCCTCAAATTAGCTCACATAGTGCTCAAATTGCTACAAACAAATTCCCAGTACCTATATTTCTAGCTTGTTGCAGATAATGTCAAATTGACACATTGGGATAATCTTCGGCTAAACTTGCTTTGTTTTGCTTCCTTAACTTTATCTGAGCTTATTTGCATTTTGAAAGAAACAATCTCGACATGATAATAAAGAACGCTCTTGCAATTGGGTCGTTGCGATTGCGGGTTGGATGTCTAATTGTCCAGGCGGTAATGATAGTATCTTGTACCTGAACCGGTGGCCACTTTTTCTAAGTAATGGGGAAGAGGACCGAAACGGCGTGAGGCGAGGCGAAGCCTTTTACCTCTGACGAGGCGAGGGCGTAAGCCCTGAGACATGGGGCATAAGTCCCACGGATCTTTAAATTTTGTTAATTTCAAGAATTTTAAAATAGTATAAAATAAAAAAATAGAAATAAAAATTACATTAAAATCACAAAATTATAACAACTAATATATTTAAAATATTTATAAATTATAATTCGACTATGAATAATACGAAAAGTATGACATATATCATAATATGCAAATTAACTTCAACGTCGTTACAACTCAAACACAAAAAGTAATGTATTCAATACGAAATCTTATATGTATTTCTTAATGAATAATGAATCTTGAAAGAATTTCGATATTATAATTTGATATTTTTTTTTTAAAATACTCTTATTTTATATGCTTTCTATTTGAAAGAGAAATTATGTAAAAATATAATTCACAATTTAAATATGATTCTCTAGCATCATTTATTTTTAAGTTTCAACAAGTTAATAAAGTGACACATAATTGACTAATTATTCGTGATAACTAATTATTCGTAAATAGTTGCGCTAGCTAATACTGGGCTATTAAATTAATAAGTATTGTATCTCATAAAAGTAAAAAAAATTAATATTTAGGAAAAAAATTATAATAAAAATTATGGACTATTATATAATAAAGACACAACAAAAGTTAATAAATAAATACTTTTTAAATAGAAAGATTTATTTAAAATTTACTATCATAGCAGTCTTAGTGGATAACGTGCAATAATTTTTATTTTAATTATGACATAAAATACTATTAACTTAATGACTTATGATTAAGAAAAAAGTAATTTTGAATAGTCAACGATTTATTAAGAATACTTGAGGATTTACAAGGTTAGTTATACACAATTGCATAAAGTTCTATTAGGCGAGCTCAATACACCGGGCGTTGGACGTGTCTGGTGCGTAAGCCCCAACGGTCGAAGCGTAAATCTCACGGAACTAAGCCCCACACATAAGTCCAGGGGCGTTTTACGAGTGCTCCTCCTCGGGACGAGCCACGAGCGAGTCCTAATTCTGCCTTACTGCATTAGCGGTCTTAGCACTTTCCCTCTTTTTTCGGACGAGTTAAAACAGAGGATACAAGTACAACTAATCCTTTTTTTTTCCCTCGCAACTTTTCTTCTCGCTTATAATATATCGAACAAGTTTGAATGTTCTTAGTCTTTTGAATTGCTTAAACTTTTTGCTTGAACGACTTCCATTTGGCATTATTATTAGTTTTTTCCTTATGCAGTCAACTTCGGACCCATAATTTGTCTTCTTGGACTCATTCTGCTCTATTCAACTCATTTCATTTCAATACTTATAATTAAGGGAATCTTACGGGAATGTACCAAAAAGACACTATTTAACAACAATTAGTCATTTTAGTCATGCTGCCAAACAATTAACAATGATATACAACATTTAAAAAATATCGGCAATTTTTTTTTCAATGGGTATTGTTTGATACTAAACCAGATCGAGCTCGGGATCTTCTTGGAAATGGGAAGATCTAGGATAGGCGGCCAACCTCCTGGAGAGAGCGATGTGCATTAGAGCAGGTGAGTAGGGGTGCAGCTCCGTGGATAACTCGTCGGGCTTGGTAGGTGGTGGTATCACACGATTCACACCCTTCTCCGCGATTCGTTGAAAACATATGGATAAGGTAATATACAAAATTTGAGGAAGTTTGAAGGTGAATTAGACTAAGTTTGAAGTTAAAATTTATTGCCAATAATATACAATATCAAAAAAAAATGAGGCAAAGAAGATTTTTTTTCCAATGGGTATGGTTGGAATTCGTTGAAAACATATAGACGAGGTAATATACATTGAGCAAGATTGGAGGTGATTTTGGCCTGGTTTGGTATCAAAATTCATAGTTAAAATCGAGTTTAAAAATCTTTTGCGACACATATATCAAACATGTATCTCACACAAGTATACATAAATATACATGTGATACACATTAATACACATATAATATATGTGATATACAAATGATACATAGTGATACACTTATCATATATTTTCATGTTATCTTCTACTTTGAATTTTCAACTCAAACCACCACAAAACTCCGCCAAATCATCCAAAAACTGAGATTCAAACTCCTTAAGATATACCAATCTATTTCAACAATACCCACTAAAATAAAGCATTTGACCTTTTTTTAGCTACAAATAGCTAATTGACTAATACTGGTAGGATCTACTATTGGTAATATTTTATGAATTGACTAAATTTTATGCTAATTTATGAGCGGACATAACCAGTAATTTCTCAAATATTTGCCTTGTAAGACAAATTATGGTTCTTCTAATACTAATGGTAAATGGGACGTATAATTTTTGGGAAAATCTACATAATAGCTGCCAAATGTATATCTTTTGTATATTAATTTAAAATATACATAATTTACACATAATCAGTGTATATCTTTTTTATATTTCGACTAGCGACTATAATTATTTTTGACCAACCAGCCAAATAGGTTAAGCCCTAAGTTTTATCTTAAGAATACCAACCTCCTCTTTAGACATTTTTGCATCATAATATTCTAATCATTTATGTTTATTGGCCCCAGTTATAGCAAAAGTTATTTACCGAGTAACAAAAATTAAATAAATAGGAATCAAATATATTCATCAATAAAATTGAAGAATGAAATGATTTGAGAGTAAAACAAAATACAAAAACTTGCCCAATTATTAGCTAATCAAAATGCAGAATTTTCTCGGCAAAAATAAACAAAACAGAGAAGACTCAAATACTCAAGGCATGCACTTAAAACTAAAATAACAATGCTAAAAATAATGGTAAATGTTACAAAATTTTATTAATAGGAAACTTCTATATCTATGTTGTGAATGCATTATAATCAACATTTAGCAAAATGCAGAGCACTAAATTATAGATAGATAACTTAAGGTGAAAATGAAAGTAAAGAATACAAAGACAACTTAGCCAATACAAAGCCAACGTAATTAGGAGTGTTCGTCGATCGGTACGGTATTTAAATATTTCGGTTCGATATTTTCGGTATTCGATTTCTTAAAATGTTATACCAATACCGTACCTAATTAAATTCGGCATGGTTCGATTTTTCTCCTTTCGTTTCGATTTATTCGGTTCGGCAACTTCGATTTATTCGATTTGAATACTAACTAGTGCATAGAGTCATAGACTACAATATTCTTAATTAAAGTACTCAAAATTACAAAACTAATAACATTTGTTGACAAAAATTTTGTCCAAAACCAGCAAATAATCCAGAGAGAGAAACTGTACATAAAGGAATAAATTTGATCATTAGAATTGTTTTGTTACTTGCTTAGAGTTAATTGATGAACTTAGAGAATAAAGGAAAGTAAAATTTTAGATTTTTTATAATTATGTTATAATTAATAATACGTGTATCGTGTAATATAATATATATTTCGGTACGGTATCGGTATTCCATTTTAAAATACCAAATACCATACCAATTTTTTTTAAGACTTAAACCAAATACCATACCAAATACCAAAATATCGAATACCAAATACCAAAATTTTCGATTTCGGTACGGTAATTCGATATTTACCAAATTACGCACGGCCCTAAACGTAACCAATTACATATAACAGAGAAAATGATTGTTTATTAAAGAATGTTTAAGAAGAAAGTGTGGGAAATTCTCAAATTTGCAGGGTAAACTAGATATTATCTTTCTAAAATCACTGGTCACTGGCGTTCAATGGCTGAATTTTGAAACAGAAGAAGAGTAGCTTAGTCTAAATATGGAGGGAGCTAGTACAAACTTAGAGGGAAAGAATGGTTTTCACCTGATTAGAATCCTAAAATGCAACAACTACGACATTCCTGTACTTCCCATAACATTTCTATATTCTCTAGCTACCCTGCCAAGCGGGAGAAAGTAAAGAGGCTAACGAAAATTACTCTCACAGCAGCAAATTGCATAATATCCATTTCAAGACAATCAAATGTGTAAGATAATTAGATGAAAACCTTTGCATGCAAAAAAGATCTAAAAACCTCATATTATCAACAAAAAAGGAATCTATAAAATTTGGATAGTTCATATAATGCTTGCTATGTACAAGAATCCAAGTTATGCAGGCCTCAGTACCCCGAGCAACCAGCTTGTATGGGGTATTTCCGTCGAGCTTTCTTCGATCACTCAACCACGATATCCCCCCAACTCAATGAGTAGTTATCCCATTTTAGTATTGTCAGTCCCTCATCTCTAGCTGAACATCACCAATCAATGTACAATTCCATCACAATGATCATATCGGGCTCGCCCTCGAGACCTGCACCCACAATGTTCAGAATACATTGCTACAAATGCGTCTAAATAGAGTAAGATAATGAAAATCAAGAAATGAATGAAGGATCTCCAGTGCAGAAAGTTGAGTTCTTTATGTACTTTGCGCTCTAGTTTCATATACTCTCTTTTGGACTTGGTGTTTGGTTTAAAGGGAGGTTAAAAATAATGATGTCGTATAAGTTCTTAGCGCTGTCAACTGCTAAAGCTGCATTCCTGGCAAGTTAGTGGACCTTAAAAAATACTAATGGAAAGCTCAAAGTGATTTGTACCAATAACTTCATTATAGTTTTTTTTTAATTATATACAACCGACTTCCAAGTGCAACGACATTACAATTGTGGGAAGGGAAATTAATTTATTTGCTGTTTCCTCAACTTTTTACATTTCATTCACATTTTCAAAATGTTTGCTGGTCAAGATCATCATGCACATGACTCTATACCAATCAAAAAACAAGGTGTACAGACAGAGTCAAAAGAAGGCATGTCACCTGATTCTGCGCACTTGCAGCAGCTGTCCATCGCTGAGGCTGTACTGTCACTGAACTATCACTGATAAAAGCTATTGTCCTCGACTCCTGCTGCCTGAAAGTGACAAGTGGGGGTGGTAGTTCTCTCATCACCCATAGCACAAACGCTGAAGGTACAGAAGAACCTGGAAAACATTTGGTCAGGTAACGAGTATTAAGGAAGTTTTCCCCCTTTGTGAATGAAACCATGATTGGTAGGACACAAATGTATTTTAGACGAGACTCTGCCCCGCTTACATAAAAGCCACTTGTATTCTTGGTTGAAGAAGTAATGGTAACATAACCAAAATAAGGGAGGGTAGGTGTAATTTCTTAAACTAAAGGGCAGGTACTATGATATTGCTAAACTAGGAGGGAGGTTCAAAATTTTAGAAATATCTGATGAGTGCCAATGCAGCAATCAAGTTAAATTTTACTATATGGCTCCCAATTTTTGTTTGAGTGCATCCAGAGAGACATCTCACAACCACTTGAACTTTTACTAAATTCATACACACTTACATAACATCATCAGCGGTGCCAACTGATTGTTAAATTGATTTCTTCCACCATGTTTAGATCAAGCTTTCATCATCTATTAACTTCAGTTAGTAGATCTTAGGTATGATTGTTAACAGCAACTAGCAGGCGGAGAGCAGAAATTTTCATTAGAAGATTAGCAGAAACCCATTATACTGGTTAAGATGTCAATGTTATTCTCTAGAATCATCAACCTAAACATTTGATTAATGTGCGTATTAAGTCCAGAATTTCAAATCAAGCTGTAGCATCAAATAAGGAATAAGTTATAAGAGTACCTATAAAATAATACAAAACCATGAGAAGAGATGTACAAACACCACTCATCTTCTGTCCATGCCAGTGAAAAAGAAGCTGCAAGATGGAAGTATTATCTTTTAGAAACTTACGCATCCAAAACAATAGATAATCCAATGAGACCAGCAGAAGACATACAGGAATATCCGTGAAAATGGCGACAGAGGCACTTGAAGTGAAACAAAGAACAGAAACAACTGCCAAGCCTGCAACCTTCATTTGAAATAAATACAACAAAAACATCAAACCTCACAAGGAAATAATCTATCACAATTTGTGTCATGAGCACTAAATTTCAACAGGCAAAAAAAGGAGAAACGTTGCACTTTATTCAAGCTGCCAGTTCTTAAAACTAGAGACAGAGAAGTTTTCTACAGTCTGCAAATCATGATTCTGATTGGAATACAGAAAATGGTAGAGAAGCACCGTAAAAAGATGAGTTAGTACCTTCCACATTTCTGATGAAGCCCTTTCAGATCTCACTTTGCTCATTTTCAAGAACAGTACCAGTCCTGCATAGCAATGGACTTATTGTAAAAAAAGACAGATTTTTAAATGGAAAACCTTCACACAAAATAATTAGAACCTATACATGAGACCAAGTTCAAAAGTTCAGCAAGTTCTTTAGGGCAACTGTTTCTTAAAATTCCGAACAGCTCGATGAGAAATGGTCATTGGTTGGACAATTAACTCATCCAATCAGGAAATATTGATGAATATTTATCTTTCTTATGGTGAGACAGCACTTTTACGGTTTTACCCCCTAAAATCATCAACCATCTATATCTTATTGCTTTTACTATTTCTGAAAGCCCTTCTCCACCGCTCCCCGGGCCAAACCTCAGGGGAGAGAGGGAAAGAGAGATAGAGAGCTCTCAACCTTTGTCAAGACCGCTATGTGGCTCCCCACATCCCACCTACTGCAAACATCGTATAGTATAACCCAAGTACTGTACTCCAATATAAGACAAATTTACTTTCTCACAACTAAATGCCATCATCAAGGATTGGAAATCTAGGTAAAAATGTCACACTGTATGATTTTGTAAATCAGTTCTTATCGTTGACTAGCATAACTCAGATCTTTTATGTCAGCCAATTCCATAAAGGGTGGATCAAGTCATTAGTTAATACACAAGTATTGAAGTGCCCATAAGCTTTCATGGTGAGAAAAGGATATACGATGTATAGTAGCAATAAGTAAGATTTCAGTCAGTGAAAATGGCAGGATAACAACTTCCTGTGACGTTTGAACATTAATGTGGAAGCTCATCATAAATAATCCATAGTGTATGAGATACTGACCATAACATGCCAATGCCAATCCCAGCAGAAGAACTGCTATTGCAAAGAGATCTACATACACCTGGATGAAACTGCACTTCATCAATTATCAAGAGGAAGGTAGGGAAAGGTGTCGGGCAAAGAAAAAAATCACCATGAAACAGTGTAAATTGATAGTTTCTCCTGCAATAATTTAAAAACCAAAGAGCAATATTCTAAGCAAATCAACAATAGCATGCTAATCAGATTAAGAATAAAAAGCATTTTACAAGAACTACCCTATCCAGACATAGAACAGCAACCTATCAAGGTAATTATCACAGACAAAAACTTCGCACAAAATTATATCATGCCTCCTTACTCGCGGGAACACATTCTCTCTTTCAATGAGATGCTCCACAACAAATAATAAGCAACAATTTCGGCTCCAGGTTGAGGATGCACATTTTGTATTATAAAATTAATTGCAGCTAAAAGTGAATACGGAAGGCTCATTACAGAGAACCAACAACTGCTAAATCAATTGGGTAAAAAGAATATGCAAGAACAACAATAAACAGATACAGGTAATTAAAGAGCCATAGTCCATACCCGAGCCACAACAGAAGAATCGATAGGATTCTTTCCCCTCCCAATCCATATTAGTACAGCAGCTACCAACATTAACAGAAAAACTAACAGAGTAACCTGGTCAAAAAGCAAAAACATGAATTAAAAACAGAAATGCGCAAAGACATAAAAATACGAGGAGTTTGAAATGTCATGTATGTAGAAGTTAGAACATACATGCAGTGTCTAAAAAAGCAGGGGCACAGTGGAGAGGGCCTCGTAGGGTAGGGCTTTTGCCCCAATATAGGCATATCACCCACGATTTTAATATTTTCAAAAGAAATTATTATAAATTATAATATGAAAAAATATACTAAAATTGGATATAATTCATAAGCAAAAAATGTACAAAAACAATTAAGTACCAAGGGATAATAACACATGTTCATTTCAATATGGTTTACCACCAAATTCGAAGTTATAGAACAAAAAACATAATTTCAATAAGTTAAAAATCAGGTTATACTCAAATACTTAGAAGAAGATATTCTGAGTCATACGAGGCGGATAACGCAAAACATAAAAGTGTGGGGCTAGCCTCACTTATTTGGCTGTTATCCGCAAGAGACTTTTTGCCACATGGCTGTCCCATTGCGTTTAGAGCCTGTGAAGCGCGTTGCTAGGCAAGTCACGACTTTGCCTCTTAAACATTATATGCGTGTACTTTATTAGCTTTACCAGAACCACAACTTTTTGGCGGCTTCCCACATTGACCGCACGAAAAGAGCAGCATCTTCGGCGACTATCAGCATTTGATTTTGGCTTATTCTTCTCCAACAAGGCTTCTCGAGGACTATACCCATCATCTTCATCTTCTTCATCATTTGACTGATGACAAAGATCAACCCTGAATTCATTTGCAGAAAAGGCATTACAAATCATTTTATATTTAATTTCTACATGAAGATTGAGTTCATGTCTTGGACCAAGCCTTAAAACAAAATTAGGGAACGATAGATATAATTACGGCTATAAGTTGCAAAAATCATTTTACTGTATTGGTTGACTAATATGAAGCATAACCAGATTCTTGACCTAATCTTCAACCAAACTAGAATAATTCATGTTGAACTTAAAGGAGCAATAGATTCTTGTCATGCCAACACCAGAACAACCACAAATGGAGTGATATAGAGCTATCTGCTTCGTTTAGAAAGTTGAATAATAACTTTACGTAGAATAGGCAGAGGAGCTACTTGGGCAATAACTTGGCGCACTAAACATTATCTAAAAAAGGCTTAATACAGAATTTGACACTTGTACTTGCACGGTCTTCAAATGCAGGGCCCCTAACTCCACGGGTTTTCAAATAGACACCTCAGGTGTTTTAAATGCCTTTAACAATTGATCAAGCTTATGTGGTGTTGATTTGACTAAGTTAGACAAAGTGCGTGGAATACACGCATATAAGGAGAGTGAATGTTGCGATATTGATTTAGTAAAGGCTAGAATCAGAAAGAGGGGGGGGGGGGGGGGGAGAGGTGATGAAGACTTGTGAAACAAAATTTCCCCGCCCCCTTATTCTTTGTCTCCCAACTTTATCTTCATTCTTACTTTTCCCCTCCCTCTCTCTCTCCCTTTCTCTTGTTCTTTTTTTTCCTTCCATTAGCTTGAGGTTTTAATTTTCTTTTTGGTGAATCCGTGGCATTTGGGTCGCTTTAGGACTTCTAGGGAGAAAATTCCAGAGACTTTTCTGGAGTTAATGCAGAAGGGTTGTTTGACTTTCTCTTTAGGTATTTTCACCATTGAAACCAATTTACAGAAATGTAGAGCAACTCGTTTAGAATTGGGTTTTGAGGACAATGATTTTGTAATGGGTTAAGGCCTAAGGGGGAAAGCAATTTAGCATTGCTCTGGTTGAGAATTGCATTTTGTGGAAAACTTTGAGAGCTTCGATAGTAAACCTTTCTTATCTAGTTTCAGTTGATCCTTCAGCATTTTGTGGGGAACAATTATGGAGGAAAAATCGAGACAGTTTCAAACCTCAACAACTGCGAACCAAGTTCTAAACCTGCGCCACTGGCCCAAGGGATTTCTTGGTTATCAAAGAGAGAGAGAGAGAGAGAAATATGAAAACTTTGTTCATTTAAGACCGGGGGATCTATATGACTAGCTCAAGTAACTGCTATTCACCAAAAGAGGGTCATGATTCGGTCAACCATGTTCTAAAGTTCGATAGCAGTGTCTTTATGAATTGCTGATTTTGGCAGCTCACTGATAAAAGTAACAGTTATCACTTCTCTGCCCAAGATTATTTTCGGGAAAGAGAATGACTGGAGAAAAAATGGGAAGTTCACGATACTCATTCCCTCATTGAATTAGTTTCTTTTCCTCAAATGTGAAACAAAGAAAAGAAAGCAAATATTTAGATTCACAAAGATAATTTTCACACGTTCAAACACAGCAAACAGAAGGCGAACTTACCAGAATGAAAGGAGAAGAAGAAATGCAGCAAGGAAGAGAATTTTGGGGGAAGCTGCAAATATAGCTGTGTATTAGTCCTAATTACAAAAGCATCAGCTGAAAAGAAAATGGTGGGTTTGCACATACCCATAACAACAAAACCACAGAAGTGCGACCAGCAAAGCCAACTCTTACAAGCGGCAACAAGTGACAACACAAAATAAAGGAAATAACCTGCAAGAGAATAGTGTCAATGACCCATTCATACTAGTTACTAAACTCTTATAGGTTACTTGCTGAGATGAACTTTTTTCATCATTATGAAATGCACAGGAAGCAAAAAAAAAAAAAAAAGACGAAAAAAAAATAAAGGTAAGGCAAGGTAATAAACGAGATTATACCTTCATCAAAATTTCATGTTCAAATTAATTATACTCTTCGCGTTTACCCTTCTTTCTACCAAACAAGAAGCTAGCTGAACTTTTATTTGGTGTATTAGCAGACTACCCAAAAGAATGCACTTCCCCAAGTACTATGGCTAATACGTTATATAAAGAGAGAAACAAAAGGAGAAGAGCTCTCGTACAAAACGGTAATGATAGCATGCAAGAGAACCCTAATTATAGGAGTTTTGAGCTTCATGATATAGAGAGTTCACAACTTATTGGCATTATAGTTATTATGACATAGCATTAAACTACACCATATTCACAATAGAATATTCGAAATGATTCTCTTCACTTTAACACGTCCTCTCAAACTCGAGGAGGAAAAATAACTTGAGCTTGTTTACTTCGAAAACAAGATATGCTACAAAATCACTTTAAGAGATTTGCCGGTGCCACCGGAGAAGTGAACAATCACAGAAAAGAAAAGTGGTGCTGAAACCCTTTTCTCCGAGCCAATAATAGCACAAAGAAGGAATTTTCAAAAAAGTTCTTTTTTTTTTTAAGTCTTGGAGAAGGAATTCAAGTTGTGCTGACAATGTCTTGGAGATTTTTCGCACCACACCTCTTGATGGAGAAAAAGATGTGCTTTTCTGCAGTACCCAGGGTAGATCAATTCTCCATCAAGAGGTGTGGTGCGAAAAATCTCCAAGACATTGCCAGCACAACTTGAATTGGCAACTTAACAGTAACCAAAAGCAGTAATACCGCTCAAAGGAGGACTCAGTACCACACTATATTACCATGAATGGGGAAGAAAAACAGAGACAAGGAGACTTGTTGAAACAGTAACTGAAGTTCAAGTTCGTAGGAGGGACCTAATACACTGTCTGACATATGAAGACGATGAGAAGAGTGAAGACTTTTCAAGAATAATGACAAAAAGTTCCATATTTAGAGGAGAGATTTAAAACCTATTTTCCAATACATTTCCAATACTATGAAAGAGAGGAAAGGGACCTTTCCAAAATGTGCTATAGTTTTCAATATCTAGACTCTGTTATCATGAGAGGAAGGAGCGAACAGGACTTTTTGGAAAATCCACTGAATTTAGAGTGGTACTGCTAGAACTGTCGCTAGAAAGGGATACGAACAGTAAATGCATGAAATGAAGGAAAAGCTTTTACCAGACAGGTGGCATAAGGCTCGCCCGGAGTTAGAAGACACTTAAATCACTGAAACTAAGAGTGGTGTAGCTAGAACAGTCCAACTCACAAAGATAAGAGGTGTAATTTATTTAACTCTTCATGCCTGAATTAATCTCAATGCCTACTTTTGTTAAAAGCTCCGCTGGCACGAACTTAAACCCCAAATCTTAGATGCCGTGCAAGCCAGCTGGCCAGGCACTTTGCCTCACTTAGAAAACACTTCAACGTAAGCACCAAAGTGTTAGGGGCGTGCTTTATTGTCTACGGGATCTATCTTGCTCAGGTGCGCAATAAACATTAAATATAGATAGGAAATAATATATTATTTTGTTAAGAAAACATTACAAATGAATTGCTACTGTAAGGAATAGAAGTTACAAAAGTTAGAGCAGGCGAACTAGACGCTAAACTTGAATAGAAACTTAAAACAGCAATTTTGCATCTGAATTAGAAAACTAACATAATCTTGGAACTTGATTTACATCATTTTTACATCATATATTTCATCTAGTAGTAGCTCTTTCAACTCATTTTGTCTATGTTAATGTTGTTTATTTATAGTTATTTTGATAAACAAACCCAAAGCACTCAGCAAAAACAATCCGTGGATAGACCAATAGATATAGAGAAACCAAGATGATTACCCAAATTTGAAGATCCAATCATCAAGTGAAATACCTGCAATTGCATAGTGAACTCTAGTAAGCATGGTCTATAATTAGCACATTAGTGAAATAAGAAGCCTCACTGATTGTAGTAAAGAATTTTATCAAGGCTAACCAGCACAAAAGGAAGAAGAATCGTAGAATCTACTAAATCACCTTCACTTCATAGCTGTTAAACTTTAAGGGATTAAGGACCAAGGCAATAAATTTCCAATTTCTAATATGAGTATATCCTCCAAGAGATGTAGTGCTACCTCTGAGCCGATGATGTCTTTTATTTGCTATTACAGAGAGCTAGCCTACTTAGTAATTATCAAGTGTAGCTCATTTTCCTTTTTCCGATAAGTATATGAAGCGTGGCCCACTTCACAGTCAGGTATTGATTCTTCAATGAGTGGAAGAAGCATCTTGTAAGCACCATACTAGATCATTTTATGCAGAATAGGACTCATCATTGTTCACTAATATCAGCTATCCAAAGATGGAATTGTGTTCTTCTAAGGAACTAACATCACCAGAATATCCTACCCAATCTGCACTACACGCTGTACCATTTGGCTGGAAGTTAATCTGCTAAAGTAGCAGCGGGCCAGCATGTACAGGTTAACACCACAAGACGATCACTTCTATGACCCTGACTGCCACAGAGCTCAATATCACACTCGTAAAACCTCCGTCATCCTTGGGATCACCTATAGACTGAGCTTGCACCAAGAACTGCGCATAGACACCCCTAATCTTTAACACCAAAGAGTCATAACTCGAGCACACGACAAATACCATGATGGCTAAGTAACTAGGCTAGAATTAATATCCTGAAGTTAGGATTTTGTATTCGGCAGAGGGATGAGAGAGCAAAAGAGATACATTGAGAGAGTACAACTGGATCCCATCGAAAAAGCAGGAGATCACCTGGTATGGTGCTAAAATTCAGAAAACCTACATGATCATCAGTAATTTGGCAATGCTTAAAGAAACTTTTAGGCAATAGTTATCAAGTTGTGGAAATGGAGGGAAAGGGTTTACATAACTATAATAATGGTGAAAAAGAATGAACTTTTAGACCAGAACTGTAACGGCATTTCGAGTTTAATTTAGCTTGTGAAGACCACCGTCATGTCACCTGAACCTTAAATGCTAGCACACAAGTGTTGAACATTACAAGATGATGGTTTAGACATGAGTATTCAGTCGAATATCATCAACATGGGTTCTTGGACGCATGTTGGCATCTTGTAACAGGCTTTATCGCATTAGCATATTTGCTATTCATAATTGGAAGTTGGAATTAAATAAAGAAGTGTCAGTGGAAAATTGGTTTTTTCCACATTCTTGACTAATTGCTTAGACCTCGGGAAGTTGCTTTAATTTTCTAGCAGTAGGACGATAGAATGTTCTCACCCATCTCAGATACCAATAAAATCAGAAAGAGAATTGAGGATGAAATGCTTACTTTCTGACGAGTCCAGCCAATGTGTGTATTCCGAGAATGAATTCTCATTAACTGGAACAATACATAAGCAAATTAAGTTGAGCAAAAATCTGATAACACAATCCATTAAGCAAGAAATAATCAGTAGCACACAGCAGATGTCAACTGTCATTAACAGCACATAAGTACTCTACTCTGATAGTGTAACACCAACATTATACAACCACAATAGGCATAAGCAGCAACCTCTAAAAATAAAGCACCAACCTCTTGGCTTGCAGCGACCAGATGGCAGTAAGGTGTGGAATTTATCATAATGCAATTATACCAAGGTTAGAATAAAGATTCTAGATTAATGTTTTTCTTTTTCACTTGAGTCAAAAAAAAAAAATAATTAACAAACACCAAGTCGGTGCCAAAAAAGTACTCTGCTTGAGTTATCCATAGTCTTTACAAAGGTTCTAGATTATAGTTGAATGCTGATTGGTAGTCGGCAACATCAAAATCTCTCACAATCCCCCACAGCCTCCCTGGTTCTCAATTCTAGCAACTAGTCAAACTAAGCAATCACCTATTCAATTAAACACAATAATGTGATATATCAAGTAGGGGTAAAGATTAACCACTTTGCTATTAAGACATGATCTATTTTGGCCATTATGTTAAGAAATGATATATTTCCTCTCTGATATTGCCGCCTTTGCAGAAAGTTGCTACCTCTGTTTTGTACTCCAGTGTGTATTTCTGTAAAGTTGTTAATGTAGCATGTCCATTTGACTATCTTGGCACGAATGCTTATGTTTAGATTCAGAACATGGTGTATAAGTATTAGCTGATTACTTTGGAGTTCTTTTCGGCAGCTCTTTTTTTCTCCAATAAGGTGTTCTCTTTGGCTGTTCTTGCAGTGGTCATCCAGGTTTTCATCAAGATATAAATATTTGAATAGAATTACTGAAACAAAACCCTAGTTTGAAAGGTCAAGGTTCACTCACTTATCCAAAAAAAAAGGTCAAGGTTCAATCTAAGGCGAAAATGCCAAGTCCTTGGTCCAAGAGATTCACCCTAGCTTCTCTTGAGCATGTGACACAGTAGAAACTATACAGATGACAAGAGGCCGCCAGATTCGCTATTGCAGCTTATTCTACATTCTTCGTTATTCTTTCTGTAATCTCATTGCAACAGTTAAATCTCCATTCATTATTGAGCAGAATGACAAGAGAGGCGAGTTAGTAAAAGCCCTTTCAAAACTTTTCGCTTGACATGTAAGAACATTAATCAGGAAAATCAAAATATTACCAAAAGAGAAGGTCAAAATGGAGCTTCCTTCTATGGGTATCAAAGATATAACATCTCCTAATTCTGGTTTCGCCCGCAATATAATCCTAAGGAACTTCAACGTTAACTTTGCTCTTAGATGTGTTCCAATTATAGATATTAGATCAGTTAAAGAAACATATCAATCACTCCATGATAATCATCATTTCTGAACATTGTTATAACTAAATGGGTGAAAACGAAGTGCACACGGATCAGACACATATCATTCATGTACTCTTTACAAGTCTATTTCTATCAAAACATCTTATACATGTATTCCACCTATCAGATGCTACAATGCTTTCACCACTAAAAACCTCCACACAAATTAGCAAAAGTTAAAGAAGGTTGTTGAAACTTAACACTCTGTTTGATCGACGTAAAAAAAGAATGATAGACAAGAAAGATAAGCCTCTTCCTTTAGTTAGGAAATCAAAGAACCCTTCCAATTTCTTTTTTCATTTTTTCCAGCAAGCCAAAATGGGACAAATAACCAAGTGACTCTAAATGATTTCCGTCTTGAACCGACCAAGATACATGAGGAGAAAGACAAACACTTGTACTTGCTAAAGAAACCGATCTGGCCTCTCTTGGACTATTATAAAGTTTGGTGGGAAACGATCATCCAGTAACAAACTCTTAGATAGAATATGCTTATTTCGTGAAACTATACTTTGTCCGAAGTAGCGGATATCTTCCCTAGCAAGATTTATCACATGGAGTAGTATGAATAGGGGAAAGAACATATATTTCTCATCATCAAATGAGTAACCAAAAACTAATACCAAAACCATTATCCACCATGATCTTGGGATATGAAGTGGGACATGTCGGTTAATCTTCAAAAAGGCCGTACCTAAAGGAGGAGGTACGGAGTAGTTTGGAGATTCAGTTCAAGCCAGCATTAGCAACAACATGGATTAGGAAAAAAATCCGTGCACTGAGTTATATATTTACCATTTTAGCTTGCACAAGTGTGAGCTATTAAATGTTTACCAAAAAATCCCTTTATGTAACTTTAACTGAAGACAGAAAACAAAAGGATCACAAAATTCTGTTAAGATTACAGAATATCTCAAAAGGAAAAAAGCAAGGTATTCTCCTGTCTTAAACAAGAGATATTAGCTCTAAAACATTGGCTACTTTTCGAAAAGCTTTCAGCTATTCTTCACAATGATGTCTTGCACTCTCAAGCGACAAAGAAGAGGTTTAAATGTATCTCAATCCAAATTTTTGGCTAATCTTTGATTAAGATTTCGTCGTCTTCAAATTGAATTAGTATTCCACAATCCTCTTGATTCTCCGATAATCATTTAACAAAATAACTTCAGATATTTATTCCATTTTCAATCAAATGCTATGAAAGTGTGGTACTACTATGGTAGTTGATAAGCATTAGCAGAACAACATGACATGGTTGAATCCAGTGTCTGCTCCTAGCACAATCCCAATTTTGTCCATATTCAAGGACATAAAATATCATGTTTACCTGAAGAAATGCCGAGTGGGTATAAGAATACCAAAGATTCAAAATTTTCAAATCTAGCTAGTATCTTAGATGGCATGGAACTACAGCACCAACCATATTCACTGAATACTTGAATCCAAATGGTATGGAGAAAGATACTAATCTACTGAGTTAATGCAATCCCGATAGGAATCCTATTGACAATAAATAGCATCACTACTGGTAACGTCACTCCAAATGGTGAAAATCCTTTTCAACAACTCTCCAAATGCACTATATGACAAAACCTATCATGATTTGGCCAACGCAAAAAAGTTCAATCCTACTCGAGCCAGCGAAGAGGAGCAACAATTAGTAAAAATCATTACGTAGGTAGTATATGGCAGTTTCAACATGAAAGATGAGTGTCTCGCTTCAGAGAATCCATATCCGGGGAGCAACACAAATGGCAGAGGAACTGTCTCAAGAAAATGCATCCGCACAAACCCACGATAAAAATTAGGAAAAAATTTACAATCTTTTAACCCCATTTTGACAATAGAGCTGACATTCCTGAAGATTCAAGCATTATAAACTGAATTGACCACACAGATAGTAGAAGCTAACGAGCCACGTCAAGAGTATTTAGTAAAACAGATTCAATTTTTCAATCCAATAGCACAAATCTAGCCAGAAGAGCATCCTTCCAAGGTCCATCACAAATAAAATTGATATTCAGAATCCATTAAAACCCTTCAAAAATCCCAGAAACCACAACCCAAAATCCCAATTGAAATACATTCATAACTTAGCACAATAAAAAACACTCTCCTTTCAGAATTCCAAGAAAAGAACAACCAACACAGCAATTGAAAGATAAAGACAGAAGCTTTAACGAAAACCCACATACAAAAAGAAAGAGTTACCTGAGCAAAAGCAAGAAGAGCAATAACGGCATCGACAGAAGCAAGAGCCACATTCACTCCCGTTAAAGCCTTAGGATAACAACTCCCTTCTCTCAACTCAAACATGTTCTTCTCCTCACTCCTCTTCTTTACAAAACCATCCACCCCTGCCAAAAAACTCTCAACCCCTCTTTCCCCTTTTCTTTTATATAGAGAAAAAAATGTAGACACACAAAATGATGATAAGCTTATATATGTATGTTGTACACACATACAAAAACTCGTGAAGAACTTTTTAAAAAAAATGGTATGGTATAGTATCGAAAACGATATTCTCCCCTTTGCTTTTTCTTTTTTCGCAGCCTCGATGGTATCTTTTCTTTCAATTTTTGGTGCAGATCTGCCCCTGGATTCTTACCCTCCAACACACCCTTTATACCCTCTCTCTCTCCTCTCTCTTTCTCTTTCTCTCTCTCTGTAGAAAAGAAAAGCACGACAAGAGTTGAGTTGGCCCTTTGGGACCCAGTTCGAGTTTGTATCTTTGTCTTGATGCCACGCGGGTGGCTTTCAAGAAGTAAATAATTTGTACGTTGTAATTTTTCTAACTTCTAAGTTGGGAGGTTTTCGGATCCTGTAAATTAGTCATTATGTTATGAATAGAATTTTATTCACGGTGAATGTCTATATTTAGGGAGATTTTAGGGTTTATTACTTGGTGGCTAAGTCACCTTCTCCCTATAAATAGAGGGTTCTATTCCATTGTAATTTATCCCAATATCAATAAGAATTCTCTCTCTACTTTTCTCTGCAATACTTTTCTTCTGCTTTTATTGTTTCATAATACGTTATCAGCATGAGACTCTAACCAATTGAGTAGAAGCTTTGGGATTGAGCATAATGATTGTCAATTGTTCCATGAACTTCCTTCATGATTAAATTCTGGATTTAAGGTAAGTATTTTACTTTATTTTTCTCTTTTAAATTCTTGAAATTCTATAATTTGATTTTATATACAAGCAAAGACAACAAAGTTTGATTATAACTCTAATGGAGTATGTAAGAAATTATAACCACCTGAAGTGGTAAAATTTTATGCCTTGCCATGATCAAATTCATGTATGATTGTGGGCAAAGAAGTGGAAACCCGTCCCATTGAATTTGCTTCATTCTCATTCTCTTAAGAGAATGTGGTAGCAATATGTAATAAGTTTGAAAGAAGACAAAATTATTACCGTGAAGGTATCAATGAATGTGGACGTGGCAATAGACGAAATTATAATCGTCATCATTGTGATAATGAGAATAAATAAGGATTCTCAAAATAATCCTTCACTTTGTGAAAGTAATATTTGTCATCGATTTGACATGAGATTTATAAAGCACATATAGATGATTATGGTCCATTCATGATGTGAATGTGACAACATCTTATTTATGAATACATATTCATTTTTGGAAGAATATGAACGTGCTAGTGGTAGTGAATATACCACACTCACCTCTAGAAGGAGGTTTGAGATGATATAAGAAAATAAAGTCATTAGTATGGCATGAATGGTCATTGGTCACGTACCTATTGTACGCCAAAATATTTTGGCATTTGTGATTGTTAAAAGACAACAATAATGCAAGAAACAGATCTTGCATATAATTTTGACCATAACCATAATGGTATAACTTTCTCTTTAAAAGAGATATTCACCATATGGGTGTTGATGAATATGTGGCACTACAAAATTAATTGAGAACTCTGCAAGAGCCAATTATACTATTTTGGAGAAACAAAATTANCAATTTATTGTGTCGTAGTAAGTCTCAAAGAAACTTTTTGAGTTTCTAAAGTATTTGCGAAAGCGGTTGGTTATACTGAGACTATAAATAAAAGAAATATTTAATATCTTCTATTACTACAACTTGTAGCGGGGTAATATGTATGTGAAAAGCTACCCGCTTTATTCTCCAGTTTATACTACACAAACAAAAGAATGCCACAATAAAGTAGAATTTTATTGATATAGAAACCCATATCATAATAAACTTGGAGTTTATTGATAATTGCACACGTCATTGTGTAAATTTGAAGTTTATCAATATTGATAATTTATCCAGTTGGCATAATTGGTTTAGCCATATCAATTTAAGTATGATATGCAAAAATAAAAGAGAATTCACATGGGTAAATATTAAAGAACTAGAAAGTTCTTTACGAATTCTCTTACATTGCTTGTTCTCATTAATTGATAGACCAATTAAAATTGGGATTGAATCCCATGAATGCTGGAAATATCAAAGGTGAATATGGGCCCATTCACCTGCCATGTATACCACATAAGATGCATCTATGAGATGGTTACATGTGCGATTATTATTAACCCGCAACATGGTGTTTGCGAGGTAACTTGCTCAATAATTTGATTTAGAGCATAATTTGCAGATTTTTTATTCAAGATAGTTTATCTTGATAAGTTGGTTTACATCAAAGTTGGTTTAGCAAAATGATTTATTGAGTGCCTCCACTTAATAGCTAAACTATTGATTATGAGAACAAAGTTTTGTTTATCAGTTTGATATACGTTATATACGAAAGTATATTATTTTCTCACCTCACAAGTGGTTTAGGGTCAGGAACCAAATAATTCCATCTTATTATTATTGATGTGTGGTGTATATTTTGATTAACACCATAACGCACAAAGATGAGTTCTCAAAGTTGAGGAAACAAGTTAGTTTTTCTAACATGAGGGGGAGACAAGATAAACAGTTGAGAAAAAGTTACGTGTAATGAATTATCATGTGTACATCTAGATCCTCGAATAAGATAATATGAACTTGAAGTTCATAAAAGATAATTCATCTGCAATATATTGCAATGCATGCCGGACGCATTTGCTGACCCAAAGAAAGTAATTATATTCTCATTGCAAATGCTCTTATTAAGTCCTAGAAGGACAAAGTCTATGGTACGGTTAAAGCGTATAGACAAATCGGTTTCAAATAAACTTCTTGATAAAGAAGATGAACAAATGATCTAAATGATCATAACAAAAGGAGGCAAGTGATCTAGAAGATCACATGACATAACACTTCATAAAATCTCAGGAGAGATTTGTCACGACCCGAAACCCGCACTAGTCGTGATGGCGCCTCTCGTGAAGACAAGGCCAGCCAACAGAACAACAATGCCTCTTTCAAAATTATTAATCATGAATGAATAGATAAATACAACTTAATAGCAATTATAATCGATATTTACAACCCAACACAGCCCGACCGGGGTGTCACAAGTCACGAGCATCTAGATAAGTCTGAACACGACTACAGGGCCAATAATACACAGAATAAAATTTAGAATCAAAAGACAAAGTCCGGTGCCGCGAACGCCGGCGGTCACCTTGCTCAACAACGATAACAAAATCCTCAATCAGCTCTAACCCGCTACCGGGTAACAAATACCTGCAACTGCACGCGAGGTGCAGGGAGTAAAGTGAGTACTCCAACTCAGTGAGCAATAAAAGTAAATAATAACTGAGCAGCAAGAAATCACGTAAGGCACTCCATCATGCTATATAGAACAGTGCAAACCCTTTGAGAAAAACAGTAAACCCGTGAAATCCTTTGGAAAATATCTGGGCTCGGTTTAAACCTCTTTTGAAAATATCTTTTTCAATAGTTAAGCAATGAATGCGAAACGGATAGTGCAAGTCAGCACGTAAGTCAGCCCCTCGGGCACAGCACTCCATTAACAAATAACACCAGGGGATCTGGTAAACAGTGTAAGAAGTAGCATGGACGCCAATGAAATGAGAGTGCTGAATGTCATGGCACGTAATACAAACAGGAACCAATACATGGGTGCAATGCAATGCATATGACCGGTACACTCAGGTACCCACTGCGGCGTGCAGTCCGAGCCAACCATGTATTTAACGACGACGCCGCTCACTGGGGGTGTGTACAGACTCCGAAGGGGCCCCTACAACCCAAGAGCAATAATCAAGCCATCTCGTGGCATCAACCAGGCCCTCGGCCTCATTATCAATACAGTACCGCTGCGGCGTGCAGCCCGAGCCAACCATATGTCCAGAAATCACTATAACACTGCTGCGGCACGCAGCCCGATCCATGCTCAGTCCAGAAATGCACATAAGCCACTTGGGCAATATTAAAATAACAGTTCTCAGCTCAAAACGTCAATAAAATGTTGTTTAAGTTTTCAAATCTTAGAAAAATGGCCGAGTTTGCAAATCAGTATTAAAACCCTGGACCGAGATCAAATAGTATGCAAAATGATGCGAAAACAGTGATATCAATCCCTGAAGGATTCACATAGTTGACACGAAGCCCAAACATGGCAATCAGCCCAAATTATGATGATAACAAGTAGTTTCAGTCAAATACGCGGTAAAAATCAACAACCGAGACGGACCAAGTCACAATCTCCAACGGTGCTCTACCCCACGCTCATATCCAGCGTGCAAGTCACCTCAATACAGCACTATGATGTGCAAATCCGGGGTTTCAAACCCTCAGGATGTCATTTACAAGTATTACTCACCTCGAACCGGCGAAATCTCTGGCTCGCGACGACTTTGCCCCTCAAATCGGCCTCCACGCGCATCGTATCTAGCCAAAATCAGAGCGAATACATCACAATATGCTAATGGAACAATACCCAATCGAAAACAATCGAGAAATAGCAAAAATCTCGAAACTAGCAAAACCCGAGCCCTGGGCCCACTTCTCGAAAAATCACAAAACTTACTTTACCGGATTCCTCGTCTCGCCACGAGTCCATACATACCAAGAACTCCCAAATCCGAGCTCAAATGACCTATCAAATTCCAATTTGAAATATCAAAAACTCAAGCCCTAGCTTCACCCCTTTTTTGGTGAATTTCAACCAATCCCCATGTTAAATCTATCATAATCTCATGTATTTAAGCCATGGGACTTACCTCCAATCGATTCCCAATCAAAACTCCCTTAAATTCTCGCCAAAAGCTCTCAAGGTCGCCACACAATGGTGGAAAATGCCCCAAGCTCGCGGATGAACTATTAAATAAAACCGCTTCTAAACAGTCCAGTTTTCGCTTCTGCGATCCCGCTTCCGCTTATGCGGGACCGCTTCTGCGGCCAAAATCTCGCTTTTGCGGATATTCACTTAAATTGCCAAAACCGCTTCTGCGGCTAACTTTACGCTTCTGCGGACCCGCTGATGCGAAGAAGGGTCCGCTTCTGCGGATCTACATTACCAACCCCTGGACCGCTCCTGCAATGAATTACTCCGCTTAAGCGCCTCCGCTTCTGCGGTCCAAAACCCGCAGAAGCGAGAATACCAGATGCAGCAACCTGCAGCAGTATGCAAACTCCCTAAACTCCCCGATTAACCATCCGAACTCACCCCGAGGCCCCCGGGCCTCAACCAAAAGCACCAACCCATCCTAAAACGTTATCCAAACTTGCTCCAATCATCAAAACACA